CACCCCTTGAAAGGGATATCACCATCTTACGGCTTTTGGCTTCGTTTTTCTCGTCCACTCCTTAACCTTTTAGGAACCCTTCATCAAAATGGATTCCGATAGCTCTAGCGGCCATGAGAAGTCGCGCGTCGACATCGAGGCCCGGTCGGTCGACGAGGTCAGCCCTCAGGAGGCGAGGAGCATCATCAAGCGTATCGATCGCCGACTGATCACTGTCACCGGTTTCATGTACTGCATCAGTGTCATGGACCGAACGAACTTGGGAGCCGCTTATGTCGCCGGTCTTGGTAAAGACCTTCAACTCACCATTGAGAACCGCTACGTAAGCATTCCCGAACCCATAGCACCTTGCCTGGCAAACACAACTAACAATCATCTGATAGTCGCTCGTCACACTGTTGTTCTTCATCACATACATCCTCTTCCAGCCTCCTGCAACCGTCCTCTGCCGGAAGTTCGGCCCTCGTCCTTTCTTGGCCTTCATCACGATAGCATGGGGTATCGTGCTGATCGGTCTCGGTCTGGTCCACAATTGGGGTGGTCTCGCGGCTCTGCGTCTCGTCCTCGGTCTTTTCGAGGCCGGTTTCTTCCCCAGTGTCATCTACCTCCTGTCGACATGGTACACTCGATTCGAGATGGGCAAGCGTTACGCCTTCTTCTACGTCATCGGTTGCCTGGCCTCTGCTTTCTCTGGTATCATCGCCTACGGTCTCATCCACCTCGATGGCGCCGCTAACCTCGCTGGTTGGCGATGGATTTTCGTCTTCGAGGGTCTCCTGACTGTCGTCATCGGTGCTGGTGGTTACTGGCTCCTTGTTGACTTCCCTGACTCCGACCGCAAGGTCTGGGGATTCCTGAATGCCAAGGAGCGCGCTTGGGTTGTCGACCGTGTTAAGACCGACCGTGGTGACACGGCCGTTACTGAGTTCAACATGGCCAAGTTCCTGCGTGGTGGTATGGACTGGAGAATTTGGTAAGCACAAGGCGCTTCCAGTAATAACTCAACTTGACAATCAACTAACACATCATCTCCAGGGCTTACGGTGGCATGGGTCTCGGTACTTCGACCATCAACTACTCGTTCTCGTTCTTCCTGCCCATCATCCTAAACAAGAACTTGGGTTTCAGCACCGCTGCCTCGCAGATTCTGGTCGCTCCCCCTTACGGATTTGCCGCCATCTACATGTTCCTCATCAACTACGCCGGAGACAAGTTCAGACTGCGTGGACCCGTCATCGCCATCAACATGATCGTCTCCCTCATCGGTATCCCGATTCTGGGATGGCACTCCAACAACTACGTCCGCTACTTCGGTGCGTTCCTGATCTGCGCCGGTGCCAACGCCAACCTTCCCTCGGCTCTTGCCCTCCAGGGAAACAACATCCGTGGACAGTGGAAGCGTGCTTTCTGCAGTGCCATGTTCGTCGGTCTCGCTGGTGTCGGTGGTATCGCCGGTTCCCTCGTCTTCCGCGCCCAGGACCAGGCCACCGGTTACAAGCCCGGTCTATACGCCTGCATTGCCGCTGCTCTCCTTGTCCTGCTCCTCACTGCCGCCGTCGATCTTTCCTACTACATCGACAACAAGAAGGCCGACCGTGGCGAGAAGAACCTGGAGTGCGACGAGGACGCGCCCCAGGCTGACTTCCGATACACTCTGTAAGCGGATCGCTTCGGAGCTGCCTGGCGGTGTGTCGCCGTCTTTGTGTCCGCGGAATGCTGGGACAATGTCACTCGTTGTATATACTCGCATAGCGACTGTTTCCGTCAGCATGTTTATGGATATCCCCCGCGGTTATAGATGTTAATGATTATTTAGAGAGCTTTACTTTTTAGCTGTATATATGTTTCAAACAAAAGTTATTACTTATTGAGGTCACTCCCTGTTCCTGACTTGAGCCAATTTTGAGATGACGTTTGCGACAGACGAGCGACGTGACATTGATGGACCAACTTCTTCAAACTGCGTGAATGAACAACTCCACCTTGCTCATGCGCCCGTGTAATGGTCCACGCTAACCTGACCTAGAACGGAGAATCACCAAGCATTGCTTCATTTAGGCAAAACCATCACTGTCCAATTAAATGCCACGAATCGGGCCATCTATACATGGATTGGGCATCCAACTGATGCTGCTTGCATCTCATCAGCTGTCGACCAGAAGCTGCTCAGCTCCGCTTCAACATTACCATGCGTCAATACCAGACGTCTTACGAATGAAGCATCACGATGCATCACACCAAGGAAGCGGCAGAGGAGGAGCAAACCTTCCTTCCACCGTCGTCGAGTCACGATGATACCATCTGGATACAGGCGAGGAGGGGCAATCAAGTGACCCGCTACCTCCGACTGGTCTTGGAGGCTGGCATGGCAATTGTCATCATTGTTCTGTCAGTTCATGTCATTCGCGGACGAGTTGAGGACGGACGGACCCCAGTTCCGAAATGTACGTACGCTTTTCCCTTATGCGATACCCATAAGGAAGGTATATATGCTGATATGCGCATAGTCCCTAGGAAGACATATAAGTTCCTGCCAGACCCGAACTATGTCCGGGACGATATGCTCTTCAAGGAACAGGACACGCTGAACACGCTACACAGCTGGTTACCCCTAAGTGCAGGTAAGTCTACCAAGAGCAGAGTCGCCGAGGTTGCTCATGAACTAAAAAATCATTTCCTTCTCCTCTGTAGACGCCAGAGGATACATCCAAGTCCCCAACCATGAGTCCTACGACACGCTCGGCGACCCGTACACGGTGGCGATCGATCGGATGAACGACGGCCCTGCATACATGATGTCCGTCTTCCACCAACTGCATTGTCTGTCGTACATCATCGACCACTACCAGCGGGGCTACGCAGGCGCCAATCTGACAGAAGAGATCGCGCACCACTCGGCGCATTGCTTCGACTATCTGCGGCAGTCGGTCATGTGCGCTGCCGACACGAACCTCGAGGGCGAGACCGAGGCCGGCCCGGGTTGGGGCTCGGATCATCAATGTGCTGACTACGATGCTGTGCTGGCCTGGGCGAATAAGCATGGCGCTATGGCTTGGAGGACTGGGCTTTTGCCGGGTGTGGCGATTCTGTGATGGAAAATCCGACTGGGTTATGAACGTCTAGGGCGTATGCGAGATACTCCTTGCGTAAGTTCGCTCACAGCGCAGGGCTTCTGATGGCTTCGAGACGGACTTATACACCTATGTAACGTATCTGCCATAGAAAGGACCTGCAGCTCTATGCATTACATGACCACGTCGGTTCTGGTATATGGATGAGTCGAAGACACGGCCCGCAGTGCGAACATTAAATGAATGCGCCTTTCGAAATAAAGCTATGCACGTCGATTCTTCATGCAATAACAATCGCTAGCTACCAAGATGTCATTGGTCTAGAATAAATGATGAAAAAGCGTGAATAACCATCTAGGGGTATAACCTCACTTCCTCCCGGATCGTCACGGACGAACCCTTTCAACCCCAGCCAAGACGAAAAAACCACCACCCCAATGAGTCCCCCTCTTCTCCGAAACGTAGCGTATGTCGACATTTGAGATACGGAAACGAGATTCTTAGCGACATGCGAAAGGGTAAGAGAAGCCGATATGATTGATGGTTGGTTGAGGATGGTCTAGGTTGGTCCCGATACACATCAAGATAGAGACGTCTTCAACGATGGTCACCTCAGATGCGTGAAAAATAAAGAATGCTATCTAGGTATCTGGGACAGCGTCTAAGACAGCGTTCTAGAGGACGCTGTTGGCAGCCCTCTTTCAACGATTTTCGTCCTTAACCACCCAACTAGAGAATATCACAGTTTCGTATATAAGCGCCTGCAGACGGTCGACTCTCCGAGTTGACAACGATCTATCTTTTTATAGTGTGGTGGATGCTCAAGTACTTCACCAAGGTCACCTTCTCAAGACCAATGGTTTCGCTCACGTGGTTGCCTCTTCGCTTCTCTGGAGATTCTGAGGGACATTGGGATCATATGACTGGAGCTGGGAAGAAGAGTTGTGCTAGTACTATACTAAGGTATTAGGTAGTAGTGATTGGTAGGACGAGTTGTGCATGGAGGCACAAGCCTGATCATTTGTACCTGGGGGCATAAGTGCAGCCTGTTGGAAATCCAACACAATTTCGTAGCATCGTTTAAGAGACTGGATAGTTCAATTTTCCGGGCACGACTACCCAAGAATTCCTACTTAAGTGACTCGGCCCCTCCATCCCCCCCCCCCTCTTTCTTTCTCTCTCTCTCTGCGACCGTGAGATTCCGTAGACCTAGTCCTAGACCCCCTACCTTAGCCAAGTCGTGATGGCTCTAGGACCTGTCCGTGGCCTCCGTCATTAAGAGGCTGCGATGGCAGTCCCAGAAATCCGAGTAGGGACATTTATTACAGCGAGTTGGGCGGGAAGTGGTGATCACTGTGTTGACATTGAAGTTGATGTGGGCGTTGACATTTGCCGATGACGTGGGCCTTGCTGCTGCTCGACAACAAGATGGGCGAAGTCAGGTGTGTATGTACCTAGTGAGTGTTATGTATGGTGCGACTATAACATGAATCAAGATCATCAATATCCCAACCTCAAGTCAATAATTGGGTTGTTATATTTTGTGCAAACTGAATTAGCTTTTGGGTTAAGGAGACTTCATCTTTCTGAAGCTTAATGTAATTTGTTAATTGATTTGTTCATGTCTTGCTTCGAGTTCGTTGCATGTTGTCGCTACAACCATAGGAGTAACTACCTAGCCTTGGGTGATGATAATGGACAGTCGGTCTCTATGCCTGAGTTCATTGAATTCGACTTGTTGCCCGTTGTAAGTATTTGCGCTCTCCTCCGGAGGGTAAGCATGTGGCAGGAGCGGACCGGAGCGGGCCCACCCACGCACCTTCCTGCGGGGTTGGCCCCCTATCCACACTCAACACCACGGCCGATCTCAACGAATATAGGCTCGTTTTGATCGCGCTTTTCGCAACAACACGCTGAAAAGCCGTAAATGGACCTGTGGCGCAGCGGTAGCGTTTCTGATTCCAGTTATCTCATTGCAGCTAGATTCCAGAAGGTCATCCGTTCGAATCGGGTCGGGTTCAATTCCTCGATGATAAGAGAGTCTCATCTTCTTTTGTTTCACCAAAAGTGGTGTTTGGCACGATGGAGGTGATAAGCTTACTCCCCATGAATGCCCCGATGGGTCACAAAATTCATATTGGGTCCAATAGAAGTGAATCGAGGGTAATATAGGAAATTTAACAGATTGTCCAACACGAGTTCTTGTTGATCTGGGAGGGTAAGCCACATTATCGGATATATATTCAGCAAATATTCTCGTTCGATTTGCTGCTGCCTGCTATTACTTACTGGAGGCTACGAGTTGCGGATGCGGCTATTGAAATCTTGCACCTAGTCATATATATATCCCTCGTGATCTTGCCTAAAGCGCCCCTAAGTTTAAAAGTTTAAGCCTGCCTAATGCATGCTCAACATAAACACCAGCGAATGGTATCAGGTGACCCTGCGCTCGCCTTGTTACCGAAACACGGTGTCTCTACTTGCCTCATTCTCCCCAACTTCTTTCTCTTCATCTTTTCTTGCCCTGTCTTTCCCCTCATGATTCGTTGCTCCCACTCAGTTGCCTCGTTGTCATAGCTTTGAAACACTGCTTCAGTTTGCTTGAAACTTACGTTGTTAGCTTTCGGAGGGCCAAAGCCTCATGTGGTATATGATCCAGCTCTATTGCCATTACTTGAGACTCATAATCGTCACAGCTCCTTTCTTAGAGCCTGTGATGAAGGTGCCCGAGGGAGGGGTCCCCGTCATACTGGGCAACAATGCTATACGAAGCCATTCGTTTAAATCATGATGATTCCTGTCGTAACTTTGACAGTACACGCGTTTCTGAAAAGGGTCCAGGGATACAGCACAAGGCCCGGGCTTGGTTCACAGACAGCAGGTTCGAATCAGATCCGTCCTCCTTGTCAATAGCTCTTTACCAAGTACGAGTTTCATCATATAATTCGTAGTACCAGTTCGCTATTCGGTACCTTCTCAGCTTCTGTTACAACCAATGTAAGAACCTGCGTGGTAATGGCGTGATGCTACAAACGTTGCAGTGATTATTCAGCCAAGGTATTCCCAACTCAACCCTATCCCATGCAATCTCAACTACTTCTTTTCTTTCAATGAGAGCAACTAACCGATAACATTTCATGCCCGATGTGGCGCACACTGCGACTTAGTCTCATTGCATATCACACTTGGCACCAACCGAGTGACAATAGTGTCACGGTTCCATATACAAGTGGCCGCAGATCAACTCTCCGAATTGACACATGCTCTATCTTTTGATAGTGTAGTGCTTTAGAGCTGCAGATCTGAACTGTAAAAGGCTAGCGACTGGTCAGCGAATCGCATGGGCTCTGGAATGTACTCATCGGCTCACAGCTGTCCTGGCGCTGCCCACATTGGTCGCAACGAGTTGTTGCGCCACCAGACCAAATGCATCAGACGGTCAGCGGTGCCGCTTTCCAGGCGATAGGGTCGCCTTCCTTGTATGCTTGCCCAACTGTCCGGAGACAATGCAGGCGAAAATATTTCGCACAGTTAGCTCGTCGATCCCTTCTTCCTTTCTCATCACTTCCGCTGTGACGGATCAGGTCTGCAGCTCTAAAGCACTACACTATCAAAAGATAGAACGTTGTCAACTCGGAGAGTTGACCGTCTGCAGTCACTTGTATATGGAACCGTGACAAATAGACCCCGCACTGCCTGGAAGATGAGCCCATCATGGACATCTTAACATAAACGAAAAAAATGGTAGGGGTTACTTACTATTCATTGAAGCAGCCCACCTTATTCACTTCGCGGGGCGCAGATAGGGACAGCGAGTGGCCGAAAGTGAGGGCTGCACAATCTTCGAGTGTCGTGACTAGCAGTCTGCATCCGTGCTTTCAATTGAGAGGCCATTAACAATATCTGGTTGAAATGGGATAATAGGATAATGCGCATCATCAATAAACGAAAAGTGAGACATTTGAAGCAGGCAGTGATGCTGAACATGAAGCTGCAGTTGCAGCAAGTATCATTGAAAGCTCACCTGATCTGTGCCAACAGGAAATACTCTAGCCATCGTGAGCACCCTAAACATCAATGTCAAATCGAAAACGAGGAATGACATGAGATATCCCAGGAAGGAGAGAACATGGAAATAAGGGACAGTACATTCGGCCGTCGAGCAAGTTGAACTCTGGGTCTGATGTGTCAGGTTTTGAGTAACATGATGACACTTGGTCATAGGCGGGCATTCATACAGAATTGAGTCGCTGGCTAGCTCGTCTACTCTAGCTCTTGCACACATGTGTTGTTCATTGGAGTGATAGGGTTCATATGAAGGTCAACTCATGTGATAGCAACAAGTTGCAGGCCGGGCTATGGTTGCAGGCGATATATAATGGAATAGACGAAGCTCTCAGCAGCCCTCATGAAGTGCTTGAAAGCCGCAAGTCAAGACGTCAACAACAGACTGACCGTCGCAGAGTATGAATGTAATTTAGTAAGGATTTGAGTCACACGTCACATATTAGCTAAGCAATCATTCTTTTTTCATCTTACTTTCTCTGTTCGTGTAAGTAGGACTTTGGATCACAGATCAACTTTGTGTAGCGCACACATGTCAATGAATGGCACTTCCGTTATCAACTGATCGTATCTATGACCATAAAGCTTACACCACTTATCTTAAGGCAATGCGTCTTATCGTGACAGGTCTTGTGGGCATCACCAGTCCGTGTCTATATCCGCACAGCTGACTGATTGGGCATGGCGTCTTTCAAGGCCCTAAGTAAGCACTTATTTGATCCTGATACCGTTGCAGGATTCGGTATTTCGAATGTTCCAGACATTAGTGAGTCATCGCTCCGTTTCTATCCTGCAACACACACATATCGTAAATGAAACGGGCGTGTATGTGTAGACCAAAGAGCCCCAACCGAACATGCAGCTAGATAAGGTTGAAGCCCTAGAGGCACTTTGAATGAGACGCACCAGTGCCGACAAGAAACTAGGTATGCGGGTGAAGAAAAGACGGGAGTTTATTGCCGATATGCGGCCCATCGGCAAAACGCTTTCGGGCCTTCGCCGGGAAACAGATCCAACTGCCGGTTGTGGCTTTAGGGTCCTTGCACATGCTGATGCAAAGATTTGTACTCAAGACTGACATTGATCGATCAAAGCCAATGTGGACAACTGAGAGATTGACTCTGATGCCACGTCAGACAACCCCTTCAGTCGAGCATGATGGTCATGAGGCATGCCTGCATATCTCACTTGCATTATTCAATCGGCTCGCGGGAACAGCGACCTCTTTGTCCCCAAGCTATGCAATGGCACCGGGTATGAAGAGTTGCGAGTGGAAATGCCTCGGGTATGGCTAAGCTCATAGGATGAGCTGCCAAGTCATTTCTGCGACAGTCTCCTTCGGGCTACCAGTCAGCCCTTGTCAGGAGGTGTCCGTCGAGACTTGTCATCGCACGGGAAAGCTTTGCGCGGAAAGTATTGACTGGGGCGTCGTATGATTGATAGAAACAGAGAGACAATTAGTCATTGAGCACTCGAGGTTTGATAGTAATACGTGAAACTGGGCAGAGAGAAAGAAGCGTGAAGAGGAATACCTAAGTGATTGATTACTTAGTTAGGTCATGAGGAGGATGTGCAGTCGAAATCCGGTAGGATGGTGCTAGGAAAGGAACTGTCGTTGAGGCATTGCCGATCGGATCCCTTTAGGGCGTCGCTTAATACATATATCTGCTTTGATAAATATAGAATCGCGGGTATCCTGCAGAATAATCCCGGGGGTTGCATCGCCTTACTGCTCCTCGGGAACAATCTCCCGCTACCAGATCAGTCACAGCTGTACAGTAGTCAATTTACCTTGAGAGTGCGCACGATCAGCGATCTGGATGATCATAGTATAACTACCTGCCTAGGTAAGTGAATGGCAGTATCTACTGCGTAGCGTAGCAGCTTACACAGAACTCTAATCAAGGGTCGTTGCAGTCACAGCTTGGACAGAGCATCAATCTTGATCACTGGTCATTGCGAAAAGGGCAATTTCAAGCCCTATTACACACAAATGTTATCAAGACACTCGAGAACCTCTCGATGCGCAATGCGTTGCCCTTATTGATATTCTTGCAAAACGGCAGTGAAAAAAACCGGCATAAGCCTACACGAATGTCACTGCGTGCATGCGATAGCAATATAATAAGCGAATTGTACAGAGCGTATGAATGTATCGGCTTCCCAACTAGGCAGCGCCGGACCCACCACACTTTCATCATATAAGTATAGTCGCGACCGAAGTCGTGACCGAGGACCGAGAATTACAAATGGCGTATTCTGTACAGAGTCTAGGCCCGTACAGTAAATGGCTCGAATGGTGCTCTACTATATTAACTGGGCCCTGAAGCAGTGTATTGTCAGCTGAGGATGCTACTCCCACTCCTCCCAAGCCAACACGTTTCGTCCCTGCGGCCATCCCGACAGCTAACAGCAGCCAACTTATCGGCCAAGCTTTTCTATCTACACGACAGAGCTTCTGCTAGGTAAATACAACGCAGTCTTATGTACGAGAAGAAGAAGCGCGTGTCTGATAAACACGAAGTTGCCTTGCTTGCCCTGCGACAGCTTTGGTACTGCAAAATGAATATGCAGGCATCCAGGGATGTCGCATAAGTACTCTGCCATGAGGGGGAGGCGAGGGGAGGTGCCCAGTTATTATAGACAGGGTCAGCACGCGGCTTATGAGTTTTTAAGGCGGGAATCTCTTGATCGTCCGCAGGACTATCACTGCTCCTTTTGGTCTGGTAAATGAGTGAATGTTGCTTTCTGATACTACTTATGGCTAGCCTTGTGTTATTAATAGTAGTATTCTATAGTTCGTCTCTTAATTGTGGCTCGTTCTTCTTGATCGGTCGCCATTGGCTCATCTCTTTCGATGAGGTCCTAGGCCAGTTTTGCCCGTGATCCACTTCCTACATTGTGACATTCTAGATATTTGTCAAAGTTTACGGAGTACGGAGATGCCTGCCCAACA